TCCTCACCTCTAAAATGAAGACAATTACTGGGACCCGCCCCACAGACTGTGCTGTCTTTGAGAGGGATGATACATGGCTGCACAGCTGTATCGCAGGGAGCTGGGGACAGGGGAGGGGAGGGGTCCCCTCAGCACAGAAAGCCTCTGCAGTCCCCAGCTGTGGGAGGAGCCTGACACCTGAGCCTTGGTGACTTCCTGCCACTGCCTGGGCCGAGGCAAATAGGAGAGGTGGAGTGTAAAGGGAGTAGGCAGCAAAGTGCAGATGGAGGGAGCACGCTTGGTGACAAAGGGAGAGTCAGTCAGGCTGGCTCCTGAGAACCACGCGGACCCTTCCAGCACCTCCAGATGGCGAGTGCAGGGAAAAGCTCCTACCAGACAAGGCCCTGCAACTCACGGCCCTGCAACTCGCTCTTGACTTTGAAGATAGCCCTGCTCTGGCATCCTCCAGCCTGTGGGAAACCGCGGGTTGGCACTCAGACGCCCGCGGGGCTCCTTGGTCCGGCTGTGTTGGGGAGCAGAAGCTAGGGTGCCCTCCCTTGCTGGGGCAGCCGCAGGCTGGATGAGGGGCCGGATTGATCACATGGGGCTCTAGCCAGGGTCCTGCTTACCTCAGTTTATCTGTATGACCAATGCGGATGCCTCACTGCCTTTCTCTGTAGTGCAGTACAGTAGCCTGGTCTGGCCTGTGGAGAGCAAATTCCTCGGGCCTCAGTTCCCCTATCTGCAAAGCAAGGAACTGGGGTGCTCTGTACAGTGTGCAGGAGCTACCTAAGGTGACTGAGCCGCCCTTAAAATTCTACAGTATGAAGTAGAACACATTTCAGATTTCAAGGACTTGGTATGAAGAAAGAATGCAAAGGATCTCATTATAAATCTCCCTACTGGAGACGTTGGACAGGGCAAGATATGACAAAATACCCATTTATAAACTATCAAGGGCTCATGAGGGAGTGGGGAGGGAGGGGAAAAATGAGGATCTAATGTCGGGGGTTTAAGTGGAGAGAAAATGTTTTGAGAAACGATGTACAAATGCGCTTTACACAATTGATGTGTGTATGGATTGGGATAACAGTTGTATGAGCCCCTAATAAAATGTTAAAAAAAAAATCTCCCTACTGATGAGTAGTTACAGGATAGTACACCGAGTACACAGGGTTAAACAAAATCGAATATTATCACAACTAACCCCATCTGTTTCTTTTTATTTATTTTAATGAGGCTGCTCAAAAATGGAAAAGTACATCTATCACTGTGTTACATTTCTATTGGGTAGCTCTGCTTTAAGCTCATTTTCAACTTCCAAGTCTTGGGGAAGCTATGAAAGTTAAAAACCAAAAACCCAAACCCATCGGTGCAGGCCCAGGTTGGGAAGAAAGACTGCAGGTCAGCGGCTCAAGGGCTGGGGCTAGATGTCCCTGGATTGATATACCTGCAAGGTCCCCAATCCCTGGTTTCCCTTTCCAGGGAAGCAGATAAACCCAGGCTGGGCCCACCCACATGTCAGCAGTCACAGCTGCTTCTGGAATGGTCTGAAAGACATAGGTGGCCCCAGTGGGCAAGTGGCTGCCCTCTGCCAGGCCAGGCTTGGCCTCAAACCCCCTGAAACACAAGCTCATGCCAAGGTATTATAAACAAGGCGAACAAGACAGAGCTGCCCTAGTTGAAGGGCAGGCCATGAGCCCCAGGATACCCCAGCTGCCCATATGTGTTCTGTGCCCCTAGAACCTCTTAAACCTTGGCCTGCCCAGAGTCCATGCTAGAACTGCGGGGCATGAGCTCAAGCAATTCTCGGTCTTGGGCATTACATGCTCAAGGGATGCTTGTTATAGGTGGTATGCTGCTAGGGGCAAGAGGGGCTGAGAGGAAGGTGTGGGCACTCCCACCCAGGGCCAGCCTGCTATGGTCGGAACGGCAGTGCTAGCTGTGCTGTCTCTGGGGTTGCATCCGCTCATGTCTCCTCTGCGCTGTGTGACCTGGCCTGCATCCACCTGCAAAATGGATCGAATCTCAACCCCAGCAGTTAGGGGGCATGGGAATGAAATGCGATCCAGTTTACAGACTTCTCTACCAACAGACCTCCCCATTATCTGTTCTAGCTGCCCCACTCAGGCGTCTCACGGAGCAGACAGGAGAGAAAGGGGAGGGAAGACATGGCCAGGGACCCTGAGAGGTGGGGCTCAGAAGGGCATTGTTTGAGGCAGGCTTCAAAAGGCTCCACTGCCCTGCAACAGCAGAGGGGGCAACAGGGTGGGGGCCTTCAAGGCAGGAGGGGCTGCTGGGACAAAGGGGCAGCCATGGAAGCAGAGTGTGTTAGAAAGGGGAGTAGCAGCTGGGGGGTTGCACCTGGGCACGAGCAGAGGCTGGTAGGGGCTGTGGCTATGAAAGACTGGGGCCAGATGAAAGAGGCCCTGGATGTCATGCTGAGCTGGCCTGGCACACAGCAGGCACTGTCAGGAAGACAGGGTGCCTGGGGACCAAGGCTGAGTGCGGGGGCTCCCTGAGGCCACCTGGGAGAGCACAGGGCCTCCACTGCCAGGCCCATGAGGTACCTTGCGAGCCAGGAGCCCCCTGCTGCTCTCTCTCCCCTGAGGGAGAGGACAATTTATTTATTCATGAGCACACACATTCCCACGAGGCAGCCAGCTCCTACACACCACACTTCTAATTATAGCAGGAATTTCATTAATGCAGGAGGGAAATGCCAGGTTCCCAGCTTCCCGCCCTAGCGCGCTCCTGTCTGTGGACACAAGCCTGGCTCACTCTTCTGCCCCCGTTGCTGCCAGCAAGATGGCAGTAGGGCAGCCACAGAGCCAGGCCCTCCATTGGGCTTTCTGAACCAGGGAGATTGGCCTCCTACTAAAAGCATTTGCAAGGTTGAAATGAACCACCACCCGACCTCTGGCCACACACAGTGGCAGCCACCAAGGTCTCTGTTTGGACATCTCCAGAGAGCAGAATGAGAGGGTAGTTTGCTGGCACGAGCTGGACAAAGAAGCAAAGGGGGAGCCACTGAGCCCTGGGAGGACACAGAGCAGACCTGTGATTGGGCCACCAGGCAAAGGCAGTCTGTGATGAAAAGGAGAGACGAAGGGGAGGAGTTATCACTTAGGGATAAACCCCAAGGAGGCCTCAAGGCCTGGGGACAGGATAAGGCAAGGGAAGAGTAGCAGAGTCGATGCCATAGCTGAGCCAAGTGGGGCTGTGGGTGTGAGAGAGCTGCAGCGTGGGGGGCCACCTTCTGACTCCCAAGAGGGCTGGGCAGAGAGAGGGGAGGCTGGATACACACAGCCAAATGGGGACAGAGGTGGAGAAGGGCCCGTCACTCACATAGAGAGGGAAGGACAAGAAGAGGCAGAGTAGTGTCTAAACTACAGAGCACCCTGCCAAGAGAACCCAGACACATGTACACTCATAAACACATGTGTTCATGCGCACATTCAGGTGTGTACACAGTCACCTGCGAATACTATGAATACACACACATGTACACATGACACAAGGGTGTTACACACCCTCTCTCTTTTCCACTCCCTTCTGAAGCCCAGAGCCTCACGGAGGACTTGCTTAGGAAGGGCCACACTGCCCACCCTACACTTTTGGTGTGTGTGTGTTTGTGTGTGTGTGTAACCCAGGCACATATAGAGGCCAACGGGAGAGAGGCTTTGAGGGAGACAGGGCTTTGTTCAGCCCCAGTTCAGAACTGGCTTGTTGAGTCCGATGGCCCAAGGAGGAGGCAGACATTCCCATCTGCAGTCTCTCCTGCACGACCCTAGTCCACACTCCAGGGGGGTGGGGGTGGGGGAGCTGCCAAAGTCACGTGCCCATGATTAGCGGGGAACATCTAGGCCTGCCCTCCTGATTCCTAAACACAGATTCTCAGCCCTCCCCACTGCCCCATGCTGCCAGGAGCCTGGCTTTTCCCACTGCCCAAGAGCTGTCCTGGAGCCACATCATGGGCAGGCTGAGGGGGGCAGCACCAACATGTTGGTGTTGTGCACGGACAATCCTCCTTCCTTAGCAGTCTCCGAGAGCCTCCCCGGGGGTCCTGGGGTCTGGCAAAGGGCAGTCTTCTGCTAGTCCAGTCTTCCCAGTCTCCATTCTGGGGCATGTACCTGGTTCCCAGTCCCAGGGGGGCTGAACTCCCCGATTCACTCCCTGAGCATCCTGAGCAGCTCAGACCTAGCGCACACACTTAGTATTGAGGAGGGGCACACTACCTCTCTGGGGTGCAACCAGCCTTTTTGTCTCCAGGTAGCTCGGGCTTCCCAGAAGTTTCCCTTGAGGCTGTCAGGGAGACGGCTGGGTTGTCAATGGGGGCTCCGAGCTCTGCTGGTCATAGCTCATGGGCAAAACCATCCTTTCATTTTCTTGGAATGTGACAGGATGGACCCGTCACCCCAATGTCACTTCACAACTAGATGGAATGTCCTATAACCAGTGCCAGTCCCTGGCTAGTGATCACTAAGAAACTCACTCAAGTTAAAAACAAATAGGAACTGGAAGTGATGGCGTGCCAGGCACTGGGATGAGGGAGTAAAGGCCTGGTCACCGTCTTCCTGGTTTAACACGTGTTACGGGGACAGAGCTGGGCCAGGACGAGGCAGATAGGTCCAAACCCAGGGGCTGTATCTCCGGGCCAAGGCCAGAGTCCCACACAGGCCGCGGTGGGCTCTGACACCCTGCGCCTTGATCCTGTCGGCTGAGGACGAGAGGCGAAGGCGCCTGTAGCCGTCCTCACCCTGGCCTTTTCCGGACACGGTGGCCACCCTGATGACCACCCTCACCCGCTCAGAGTGCTTGCCTGTCCTCCTCCCCCGAGGCTTCCTGTTCCTCACTTCTTCTTCTTCTTCTTTTAAAAAAAGAATAAACTCCAAGCTGCTCCTATGATTAATTACCAGCTGCCTAATGCTCCGCCACTGGCACTTTCTGGAAAGGGAATGAATTACCTTGAAAAACATCCAAAGAGAGAACCCACCGTGAAGGAGAATTGCAAAGGTTACCTCACAATTCGTAGTAGGTTCTCGGGCCTTATCGAATTCCTGGCAGGCCCCAGTGGGAGGGGCAGGCGCCAGCCTTGGGGGCCACCCTCTGGCTCCGGAGTGCTGTGCTTGAGGGACCTGGCAGAGAATGCAGGGTCCCGGTGAGCTCGTTTCTGAGTGAGCCAGGTGCCTGCCCTATGGCTTCCCCTCCGTCCTGACTCAGCTGGCTATCAGCTGGCTCCTGGGTTTGGACTGGCACCTGCCCATTCTGGCCCTGGCAGGCCTTCAGGGGTGGGAAGGGTCAGAGTGGACGTGTGAGGGAGGAGGAAGGGTGAGGGCGGCTGACAGCTCCTGAGTGCTGGAGGTGTACTAGGTGCTGTCGGTGCACCCCCTAACACAACTTTGGGGGAGTGGGATGGGCAATGGAATTGGCGTGGCGGTTACCCATTGGGCTGTGTTTTGCATGGTTGGCAGTTCAAAACCACCAGCAGCTCCGTGGGAGAAAGACTGGGCTTTCCATCCTGTAAATAGTCACGGTCTTGGAAACCCAGGCAGTCTCGGCGGCGAGTCAGCCCCGACGGCAGTGATTTGGTCTGGTTTATTGTACAGATGGGCAAATGAGGCACGGACGAATCACCTCAGGTCACAAGGAGCAGGGACCAGGGCGAGGGTTTGAAGCAGGCCATCTGACTCCGAGCCTAGACGGTCCCTGCATGTGGGCTTGCGGGGGAGCAGTGGGTGGGGCAGTCACAGCTCAGAGTCCAGGGGAAAGGACTCTGTCCTCACCCTGGCCCCTTCCGGAGGAGCTGGCCCAGTTCTCAGTGCAGGAGCCCCACACCGCAGGTGGGCCGGAGGCAGGTGTAAAAGCCAATCTGGCCTTCGCCCGTGGTCCCCAAAACCCACCCCCAGCAGCCACTGCAGAGAAAGGCCAGGCTGCAGAGGAGAAGCCCCTGGGTGTGAAGTGTGAGGAACATAAGAAGTGCCAGTGGGGACTGCCTTGGGCCCAATCCACCCAAGGCCTGGAGTCCAAGTCTGGCGCATGGTGCTCCATGGCTGGTACCTTCCCTCCCACACACCCACCCCTGCCTCAAGCACCGGAGCCTAGCCACCCACTTCCACAGCCCAGCCCCTCGCCGCCTACCTCAGGGATCCGTGAAGCACCAGTGTCCGACGTGGGCAGTCAGCAGCTCACGGCCCTCTTGGCCTCACTTCAGTGTCATCCTCCTGCAATGGAAAGAGGCAGTTAGTGGCTGCCACGGCCCACGCTGCCAGAACCTTCTGCCCAGCACAACTGTGTCATCGCTATGTGATGGATGGACCAAGAAAGGGGCACAACGGGGTGTCTCCTGATAACTCATGTTACTGAGTGACCAGGGGCACACTCTGAGCTCCTCTGGGCTTCAGTGGACCCATGGTCTCTCTTAGGGTTGCCGGGAGAGTTCTAGGAAGTAGGGTAACAAAGGACCCCTGGGTGGTGCGAACGGTTTACACACCTGGCTGCTAACCTGCAGTCTACTCAGAGGCACCTGGGAAGACTGGCCTGGTGTCCCACGTCTGAACAAGCAGACACTGAAAACAATATGGAGTACAGTTCTTCTCTGACAACTATGGGGTCAACGCTGGTTAGAACTGATTCAATTGTACTCAACCTTCACGCAACAAACATTGAATTAGTACTAATATCATTAAACTTTTTTGCTGTGAATTAGATAAAGGTTTACAGTGCCAACTCCAGTCTATTCAACAATTGGTCCACATTTCCCCCTGTCATTGACTGCAATTCCCATAAGGTAACATCACTTCTTTCATCGCTTCCCTCTACTCCTCCCCTTTCTTGACTCTCCTGAGCTTCCCTTCTTGCGTAACTGCTGACCCCTTGATGGTTGGTTATTTTAAGGTGTGTGTACTTCCTAGTGGTACGATGCCTCCCAAAGACCTATTGATTGGCTGACAACTGAGCCATGGGATGACTAAGATAACCAAGGGCTACAGTCTGAGGGGCTCCACCAGCTTCGATCTGACCAGCAAGCCTAGTCTCTTTTATGATTTTGTCAATCAATATTTACAGCATCCTGCGCTGTAAACAGGATAGTGGCCCCAACCCCTGGGGGACTAAAACAACAAGCAAGGACTTGAAAAATGCATAACGAAAAGTGGCGCTGGCCAGAGTGAATGCATACAAGGAACACAGAGCAGGCTGCAGATTGAGGGGGTTCTTTCTGGGGAAATGAAGTTGAAGGAGACCAAAATGCAGGGAAAAGCATTCAGCCAGAGGGAACAGACCATGAAAAGACTCCAAGAGAGGAAAAGCCAGCACAATATGTGTGTGTGTGTGGGGGGGGGGGGGGGGGGGGGGGGGGGGGGGGGGGGGGGGGGAGTAGGTTGGTGTGTTGGGTGCAGCAAGCAAGGCAGGGAGAGAGAAGGATTGTGTGAGGCCTCAGGCTGGGGTTAAAATCATCTGGAGGATTTAAACTGCTGACAGGCAGCACCCTGCTCCCAGTAGAGAGAGCCCCAAGGCTGCTGTGGGGAGAAGGGCTTGAGAGGGAGGGGAGAGGAGGCAGACAGGAGGTGAGGTGCAGGCAGGAGACTGCAGAGCTCAGAGTACATGCTGGAGGGCAGGGGTGGAGGGGCAGTGGTGGAGGCTATGGGTGCACTGGGGCGTGGAGAGGAGGGGAGGGAGGAAGAAAAGATGTTCTCTTTTGGCATGGGCTTGGGGCATGATGATTACTGTTCGGCGGGGTCCAGCTAGCCCATCACTTCAATGTCACACCAACAGGCCCCTAGCCCCATGGACCTCCTGTGGAAATCCAGAAGGGTCAGTCTGGTGGCCTTGGTGGTGTGCTTCTCAGGGTCCCCTCAGAGTCCCCCTCAGAGTCTCACGGCAGGCTAAGAGCGTCAGAGCCTCAAGTTTGAGCCCCACTGGTGAGGGACATTTGCTCAAAAGTGAGGGAGAGTTGCTACGATCCCCCACTCCTGCCCCAGTAGGCAGGGCGGTAGAGTGGGGCTTGTGGCCACAAGTGACGGGAGGTTGTGTGCGTACCATGGACATGGGGGAGAGTCCCGTTTCTTATGGGCAGTGGGCAGGGGCTCCTGAGTGAGAGACAGGCTTCAGTAAGAGACCATTAAAATGTGGGCTCTGTAATTAAAATGAACTGGTTCAAATTCTGGCCTTACCCTCTGACCAAGGGGTGGCCCTGGGCAAGTTTTTTGTTTGCCTGGAATCTCCATTTTCTCCTTTGTAAATGGAGACTTTGAGTGGGTCTCACTCCCATGCAGAACTCATCAGACAATGCACATGGTACTGGACTATGGTTAGCCTTCCATGATCGTCAGCTGAGACTTCCTGTACATTTCAAGGACAGGTGCTAAGCTCCAGAGCCCTGTCTGCAGCCCAACTCAGTCATGGGCCAGAGAATGGGCCTGCACTCTCGCCCTTTGCTTCTGGTTTCCTGTAGCCCCCAAACTCTGCCTTCCTTGGGTTCACTGATTTGGAGTGTCTCATTCACAGAAGAGACTGAGACCCTCAGTGGGGCAGTGACTGCCCCATCTTCTGCTTCACACAGCAGGGTAGTGGTGGGGGCAGAACTGGACAGCTCATGCCTTTCCCCAAGGCAAGCTGGCCACAGACTGCTGACAAGGAGAAAATAATTATTCTGGTAGTTGAGACAGAAATCGGAACCAGAAAGCCCTTGCACACTTGGTGAGCATTGTCTAGCTCCCAAAGTGAAGCTGCAGAGCCAGAGAGGTGAGGAGCCCTGCCCAGGACACACAATTAAGTGGAGGTACCTACATTTGAACTCAGGTCCCAGCCAGGGGCTGAGTCCTCTTTCCTGAATCTGCATTGGACTCCACACCTGCAAAGTGGGAGGGAGCAAGGACCTTTAATATATGGTGTCCACAAAAGCCACACCAAGCCCTCTGTCTGACTCAGAGTGACCTTCCAGGACAGGGTAGACCTGCTACCTAGAGTTTCTGAGGCTATAAATCTTTAGCGGAGCAGACTGCCCCATTTGTCCTCCCTCAGAGTGACTGGTGTATTCAAGCTATCGACCTTCAAGGTGCACAACCCAATGCTTAACCCACTGTGCCACCATGCATGAGATATTTCTTTAACTCTCAGTGAAACCCCATGAGGTAGAAAACTCAACTCTGCCACTTTCCCATGTAGAGCAGGGAGGTTCTGTAACTTCCTAAGGTCACACAGCTAACACAGAGCTATGGACAGGGAGGACTGTGAGAAGTGGTCTTCCTGCTTATCCTACAGGGCAGCCATCAGGGAGCCTAAACTCCTCTAGTCACAGGAGATGCTCAGTAGCCCTTCCCAGGGCCAGAGAGCCTGGGCATCTGGACCCCCCCTGACACCAGACTGGACACCCTTCACAAGGAGCCCAGTTGCTGTCAAAGGGCAAGCTTGCTTAGAGCTCTGTTTGAATCCCTGGTTTGCCACTTGAGCAAGTCACTGGCCTCTCTGAGCGACCCCACTCCCTGCCCCAATCTCCTCTTTAAATAAGAACTAGGTACCCTTCTGAGGTCTCTGGGGGGTGTAAGCTCTTGGCTACTAACCAAAAAGTTAGGGGTTCCAATCCTTCCATTGTCACTGAGGAAGAAAGGCCTGATGCTTTGCTTCTGCAAAGACTGTAGTCAAATAACAACAGTCTGCAAAAACAATGGTCTACCTACATCCTGCTGGGGTCTGAAAGGTTCAAGAGTGGCCATTTAAGGTGCAACTGTTGGTCTCTCCTTGCTTGGAGGAAAGAAGAGTGACGAAAACGGAAGACGCATGGAAGCAATTAGTCCACTGCACTAATGAATGGACTGTGTCAACCCCACTCTCCACCACTCTGCAGCCAGAAGAACTAGATGGTGCCCAACTCCCACTACAACTGCTCTGAAAGGGATCACCTTAGAAAGTCCTGGCTGGACTGGGAGAAAAGCGTGGGAAAGAAGTCAAAACCATAAAAGCCATCAGGTTTATTGGTTGTCCAGAGACTGGAGGAGGCTCCAAGACTATGAATCTTAGCCACCCTTCAGGTCTGCAACAGAACTCACCCCCAAGGATCAATTTTCAGCCAAAGAACAGGAGTATGAAGAAGAGTTAACGATACGGCGGTATACCCACCTCCGAATAATCCACCACGTGGGAGCAGAAGAGCAGCATCTAGCCAAGGACACAGTGCGGATGGCTTCGAAAAGGAGAAGGAATGGAGACAGGGAAGAAGGGGGCTTAGTAACATTACTTTAAGGGGACTGCAGTCTACACGATGTAACCCAATGTGTCACATGATTAAGTGAATTGTGAAGTGGAATACTGATCTGCTCTGTAATCTTCACCAAATTCACAAAAAAAGTTGTTAAAAAATCATTACAACAGTAATAGTAATAATAAGAAAAGATTGTAGCCAGAAAACCCTAGAGTTCTAGTCTGCTTTATGACACATGGGCTACCAGCAATCAGCGTGTCCTCAACGGCATGGCACTGAGCTTGGCCTTTGTTGTTTTATTTTTGTCTACTTGCTTCTCCGGCCATTTGCCAACGAGAGGAGACTCAAGGCTGATCTTGCAGACAACAGCTATGGCACTGACTTACGCTGGGGGAGGGGCCTTAGGATGGTCTGCTCGGGTAGGGGGTCATCCTGATGCCACACACAAGAGATCCCTTGTCCCTGTGATGGGAAGGTTTAGTAAAACATGAGGTATACAGACACAGTGTCACAGCGGCCAGCAACGGGCAACTAGAAGTGTGAGAAAGGGGTCTTTGCTCAGGATCCTAAGTGGCCAAGCAGGGAACTGCGAGTCCTCACCCCACCTGTCCAGCTGACTGCTCCACTGCTGAACTCTCCTGAACCAGTTCATGCCACATAAGTGCTTGGTGCCTTGGGGTCAGCTGGGTTCCTAACTCCATTTTACCGATGGGCCAAATAACAGAGGGCTCTAGGGCTGGAGTCATTTCTGGTCCCACAGAGGGGCAGGGAGTCTCTGGGGCAATTGGAGTCCTGCCCCCCTCCAAGATCCACCCAGGGACACTTTCCCTCGCCCCACCCAGGCGGGAAGGAGCCGGGTCCAAGAGGAACGCAAATATTTACCCTGATGGTTGTCCAGACCTCCCACATTCCTGGGATGCATGTTCCCTGACCTCACCAGACTGGGAGATGAGTCCAGACTCAGGACTACAGCCAGACTGGGGCCTGGGGCCTAGGTGGGGGCCAGCTCCTACTGGCCAGAAG